TGCTGCAACTTCAGTGGTGTGGAACTGGTTTAGCTTTCGTCCGTCAGATACACAACAAAGCACTATTTTTGGTAGCGCATGCTAGCAGGCCGTCGTTATTACCGTGCTTTTTGGAAAATACAGCACACTTAAAATCAATTCTTTGATTTTTCTGAAAATCGACAGTGCCCCTTATAATCCCGTGTGCCTTATGTATGAACTCTGGTTGTGCTTACTGACCTCGAAACGATTTTATGTGGTACATGGTGCTCAAAAATCTGTCAAATGTTTTAGTACGACTTTGCTAAGCTACGAACCCGCATTGCTTGATGGATTGTCGGAGCATTACGGCTATCGTAGGCTGGAGCCTCGCGGAGTGATACGTACTGTGCTTCAACATAATAGTACCGTATTGTGTGTGTATAACCTCTTTTTAAGTTTTGTGGATATTATACATGGTTATGCTGAGGATATGTCAGCCAATTTCCTCTGGAAATGCCTTTTGGTTAAACTGTCAGCAAGGAATTTGCACTGTTACATTTTTATATAACTTTAATGCACATAAAAAAACAGCTGCTTGCTTAAGTGAAATACATTGATGTTTTTTTGTTTGCACTAATAAAATTGTGGAGTTGTAAAGTATTTTGTCTAGTGTCAATTATATCATCAGTTATATCGTTATTGCAAATTTTCAAATGTATATCGTGATAAATATTTTTAGTCATATCGCCCTGCAGGTGATATGACTAAGCACTTCTAGCAGGTAATTCAGGAAACACACCATCAGTGCATAGATTATTAAGTTCTGAAAAGTAGAAATTAGAAAATAACCACGATTGAAATGAGTCAGAAAGCAAGGTTATCAGAGATCACAAAATAAACATGGGTTTTATTTTATTAAGTTCAAACTACCAACAACTAGAACTCAAAACAATCTCCAACCTGAAGACGCATTCCTTCCTCGGAAAACTAAAAGGGAAGAATCTAGCTGCTACCACCACATCGGTGCACACCATTTGCAAAACACATTATGTGGACACCCTCCCGACACAAAAATCCTGCAGAGGAAGAGAACAGAGTTAACCACATACAGGAAGCACCACTGCTGTAGCATAAGTTTGTTTATTTAATCAGCTTTTTTTTTTCCTCCGCCTAATTATGGCCCCCTTCACTTGCATCCCATTGGACCTCATATTAAGTTATCCAGTTAAAAACTATAAAATAAAGGTTAAAACCTGGAATTGACTCCAGGTCTGTGTTTTTTTTCTTTATGGAATAACAAAGGAACAGACCTCTCCTGGCCAGGAAAATGCTTGTCAGTCAAATGCCCAAATACCTTTGGAAAATGTGTAGAAAAACAGCTGTAACTACTCAGTTATCACATTACTTTTTTACACCCCTTGATTTAAACCTCAAAGTCTGTACTTCAGTCTGATTGATCCGCTGATGTCATGTACAGGGTAACCAGGGTAATCTTTACTCCATTGCAATTCTTATGATGCACTGCACACCACAAGGGTATAACATCTGTGATGTGATGGAGCTGGGATTGCAAGTTTGATTCCCACCTGGTATCCAGTAAGGATCCTGGCTAGACTCCCCATGGTAAAAACAAGCCCTGGAAAAGCCCTGTCCACAGTTCAGGACACAAGCATTTCACTACATGTTCACTAAATGTTGTACTGTGTATGTGACAAATAAAATTTGTATTAAATGACATTTGTACTGTATTAATGTGACGTTGACAGTATTCAATTGTTTACAAAATTTACATTTCTGTTCCTTCACTCGGAACATTCTGTTGGATTCACTACAGATACTGTAAATCTGCACCCACCTGACCCCAAAAAACCCAGGGAAGCATATGACCAGTTTCATGTGCAGTAACTCAACCAGCACGACCAGTTTTGCATATTAAAGGCATGACGAAGAAATAACTTCACGCCACTGACCCTGATTAATGCCAACCATATATCCTGACTAACGTGTAAAAGGTCCACCCTCATTCTTTCTCGGAAATTCTGAAGTGGAAGTTAAGTAGCAACAATGAAGATTTGATCTGCAATTGCAAAAACCTTGAAGCACCGAATAAAACTTAAGTGAACACAGATATCAGAACTTTAGTGTCTGTGTACTTAAACACAATAAGGGAAAAGGAAACAGTGTATTTCGAAGAGCTGTGTTCATAATAAAGTTAAAAAAAATTGAACAAGTCAGATTATTTATTAGTTAATAGTAAGAAAGTGCACGACAGAAGTGTTGCTGGATTTTAGTAGACATCCAAAAATTATTTTACAGTCAATACACTACACAATAAACAGAATAACATAAAGATCATATCCACAGGAAGCAACTACCCTGCTGAAAGAAAAATGAAAGGAACACTTTGAAAGCACACAGATCATATAGGCGATGGTGTCCTGATGGATCTCCTCCCAGATCTGGACCTTGATCTTAAGTCAAATCTTTTAAGTGGCCTTCTTCTCAGGAGGACACTTAAAACCCACTTTAGACAATGGAACATATTACGTTTACACAAATGGCCAAGAGGAACAAACCGAGCTTTGTGCCTTGTGCCTTTGAGGCAGATCAATTTTCTTTCACTTTAAAAGTTTCAGAATTGGTTTAAACAGTCAGTAACAATATTTTGATATTTGAAAAAAAAAAGCCCAACCAGTTCAGTCCAAGTATGTATAAACCAGAATGCCTCTGTGACCTGCTCAATCATTCTTTCTTTCTTGTACATTTTCAGAGTTAATAAAAATATTTGGTAATTAGTCTCATTGCTGTTCGATGGTAATATACACATTAAAGATTGAAGTAGATCCCCTGTTTTTACCGCAATATCCATGTAGGTTGCATGCATTGTTAGGGAAGTGGTGCATTTAGAAACAAAACTCTCTAAAACGAAGAGGTGGAAAGACAAAATTCAGGTTTCTTTCAACGCAACACACCCTTATTCCTCGCCCCACCCTGATCACTAGAGTGATGGCAGAGTTTCACATGTAATGCTCTTGTAATGCTTGCAATTTTCTCCCCTCCCCTCTGCTTATTTAACAGTGACAGAAAGTGAACAGGTGTCACTTGTTCATCTGGAAGCCACTGGCTACATCAGAAGCGGTCCACCTCCAAGCCTTACCTGAGACTGAAACTACGTAGGCAAAATCTGAGGAACGATATATCTTTAATTCAATTTCTTTCACTATTTGCACTGGAAATAAGAAAACTTACAGGTAGGTAAAAACAATACATATGCAACATCATATCAGTTTTTAAATTAGTTTTTTTTTGTTCAATATCTGTTTAAGTTTGACATTCACTATCTAATAGTGTTTTGTGAAGAGTAGTAATTTATAATTGTAACAATAAATAAATTAAGATTGCAATTAGTTTTCAATAGTATTTATATATATATATATATATATATATATATATATATATATATATATATATATATATATATATATATATATAACCTAAATAACTTTTTTGGAGTCTGGAGTACCTTTATTGTAAACTGAAAGACTGTTAGGCTTACTTTCCAATTACAATATATTAATCATTTAAAAACATAAACACATTTATTACTTTCATTACTTTATTACTTTTTATTAATCTTAATGTTTCACTGCATTTATGGCACTCTTATGCCAGTTGCCAGTTTGATTTGATTGTTTTTCTTATTTATTTGAGCAACTTTTCGTGTGATATTTGGTGGTGGGATTTATTAGCGTTTTATTTTGTGGTTTAATGTTTCACTTTTTTATTATTTAACTCCATACTTATATCATCTGTAAAAACAAATTATGTGTTATCTTGCTGCACTTAATTCTAGAGCCTGTACTGTAAGTGCTACTGATTATTTTGTAAAAGTCCTCACCGTTGTTATATAAGCCAGTATTCCCTATGTTATGTTTGAATGGTATACACAGATGATGAGGTTGCTTTTTAATTCCAAACCGAACAACTCACCTTCTGCTTGTTGAGCTTTGATGTGTACACTGATGCTTGCACTGGCCTCAGTGCTAAGGATATTGTAAAATGTGAGTCAGAGTGCACTCTGGTGGACAAATGATATGATGAAAAAACCACAGAGTGAGAGAGAGAGAGAGAGAGAGAGAGAGAGAGAGAGAGAGAGAGAGTAGCTGTAGTGACAGTAAATGTTATTAAATACAGTGCTGTAATAAACTTCACTTCACTTACAGTTAATAGTTAGAGTTTACTCAATCTCTGTTATTCCCTCTGCTTTAGGCATGGACAGCAGACTAGTCCTCACTCTCCTGTTTGTGATGCTGACTGGGTATTTCATGGGCACTTATGCTCAAAACATTACGGCAGCACCCAACAACACAATAAGTGTGACTCCAGCAACCAGCATAAATGCTACCAGCACAAACACCACCTCCAACGCCAGCACCCCAATACCATCCAGCAACAACACCACTTCCAACGCCAGCACCCCAATACCATCCAGCAACAACACCACTTCCAACGCCAGCACCCCAATACCATCCAGCAACAACACCACTTCCAACACCAGCTCCACAACACCATCCAGCAACAACACCACTTCCAACACCAGCTCCACAACACCATCCAGCAACAACACCACTTCCAACACCAGCTCCACAACACCATCCAGCAACAACACCACTTCCAACACCAGTCCACAACACCATCCAGCAACAACACCACTTCCAACACCAGCTCCACAACACCATCCAGCAACAACACCACTTCCAACACCAGCTCCACAACACCATCCAGCAACAACACCACTTCCAACACGACTGCAGCTCCAACACCTGCCCCACTAGTGCCTGACAGCAATGTGACAATTCTTAATGTGAGTAATGTAGAAAAAATTAAAAATATATTAAAAAAATATATTTTAAAAATAAATTACATTATTTGTTAATTACTATAGCAGAAGACTGACAAAAACAAGTTGCAGTTGCATTGATCAGTACCTATTAATGTATCTACCCCTGACAATGTATACAACTAAACCACTCTCTAACATGGATCTTATTTATCCTTGCAGACCTCTTTTACTAGAGATAATTGTAGCAAGACACAGCTGTGCGTTTCTCAGCCCTCTGGCTGCGACCCCTCCAGTGGGACATGTTTCTTCCTTGGTAGCCAAGCGCTGGGAGGTCAGAATTTTAAGTTTTCACTTTCAGGACAATCAGACGGCTACGCTGCTCTCACCCTGTCACGGAACACCACACAGGTATGTCAAAATTATTTCCTTTTAGCACAGATGAAAATACAGTAAAGTTTAACAATGAGACAGTCTAGTATTTTGTTAGTCGTCATCTTTATAGAGAGGTAACATTTACAATTTCTGGTTCTTCACCACAGGGAGTCAATGACACAACCTACATCTGTGCAAATGACAACAATGTACTCAAATACATAAGTGCTCTTCTCAACAATGGCAAGCTGAATCCCACAACGGTGAGTTCTACTAGCAGACTTTTGAAAAAACACTTTAGTAATACTTTTTTTAGGGTTGGAGTGTGTGACAAATGCTCATTCTGCCTATCACTACTTATGCCCTTGTGTTGCCTTCACTTACATTGAAGTTTAATAATGAAGAAATTATTATCCTAATAAAAACTAAGCTCTTCTCTTTGTGATCTGTTTTCTTCCGCAGCTTAAAGTCAACAATGTGAAGGGCAGAATCAATGGAAGGAACATCCAGTGTCAATTTGATGCCACAGTACCAGTCTCTACTAACGCCCAAACTAAAGCAGCCACAGACAGTACAAGTTTCTCAATGTCAGTCTCCACTGGAACTTATAATGCCAGTAAGCTAACACATCAACATCACATCAATTGCACCTTTAACAGACCTCTTTTAATGATGGTTACACAGACCATCACTGACAATATATCAATATGTTGTTATGTACTTTAAACACATCAGTGATCTTTTTTTCTCTGCTTGTTCTTTCAGCTTCAGGGGATCTGGGTAGCCCTGCTTTCCAAATAACAACTAATGTGGTAAACCTGAGTAATGCTAATGCCACCGTCACCAATTTGGTTAGTTCCAACTCCACCAACACCACCACCACCACCACCAAACCCCCCACCACCTCTGCTGCTAATGCAATTACAATCCAGCAATCAATGATGCAAGGTAAAAGTACCAGATAAGTTTTCTTCTTTCTTTTGGTTTAATACTTACCTGAGAAAAGAATATGTGCTTCAAACATGAAACACGTAGAGTACTTAATACTTGTTCTTCTGTTCTTCCTTCCTCGCCTCTAGCTTTGCTGATCACTGTGGGCATCCTGACTCTGAGGTGGCTATAAGGAAACTGAAACCTGCCCTACATAACAGATTAAAACTTTCCTATCCAACCATGCTACTATTTTTAAACTCACAGGTTTACTATCAACAGTATGTCCCAGACTGCTATGATTAATTTTGTGGGAAAAGGTCACATTACAAATCAGGACTGGTGGAGGGCAATCACTTTCGAGAAGCTTTTTTTATACTGCTTTTACATGCAGTTACACCCTTTAAAGCCCACATTTTTATTGCTAAGCAAAAACATTCGGTAAGTTTATGGTTACTTTGATTATTAAACTGCTAAACCGTGTAAACAGAAACTGCTGGTAAACCATTGTTTGCCTTTGTCTACCCTTAGAACACCAAAAGCAAAATTCATTTGCTGATGATGACAATGATGCCAGCAAATGGCAGAGGTGCATTTATAAACAATTATGTTCTGATAGTATATTTCTATTATATGTTGTTTATATGAATGCTGTTTGTTCAGCAGTACCTTTACAATGACGCCTTCAGTGGCTGACGTTCACATGTATTGCTTGCTTTTTAGCAGGTGTACACAAATAATGCTATATGTGGTACTACTGAAGATGCTCGTGTAATGATTTTGTATTACATGTTTATAATTAAATATTTATCAAAAAAATATTTTGTGTGTTTTCTGATGGATGTTGCTAGATTTGAATTGGAACTTTTAACGTTTAGTCAATTTTGGGTGTTCTCAAATGAAAATACTTAAAACTACAATATTTTCACTACATGCACTTTTCATGCGGTGCAGTTGTGTCTTGCCGTATATTAAAGAGTCAGCCAGATAAGTCACTGCCCAGAGCTTGTGACCATAAGGATACGAATGCTGATCAATATGAAGTGACACCTTCACTATCAAGATCAGATTTCTCTCTACCCAAACAGAGCAGCACAGCAGCCACATCAGTGTCAGGAGCCTGAGATCCTCAACATATCCTAGAAACTTGCTCCCAACCTGGAGCAGGTGAAAACCATGACATTGAACTTGAGGATGTTAATTCTTATCCCAACGCTCACCCGGGAAAACCCCCAGTGCGAGTTAGAGATCACGGTCTGATGAAGCCAGGAGAAAAACATCATCTGGAAAGTGCAGAAACGAGATCCTGAGACCACCACCTTGAATGCCACTAAAAATTCTGTCCATAAATATAATGAACAAAATCTGTGACAAAGGGCAGCTTTGTAGTCCAACAGCAAACAAGTGCATACAAACATGTATGACATGTCAACTGATCCAACATCTCCATATTTTGATTACTTTCAGCTTGGGAAGATCCTCATCCAGATGATTATTACAGCAGTGGAGTCATTCTTCTTCAACGTGACCTAAAGAGCGTTCATTTCCACCTTGAATCCTATGTGATTTTTTTTAAATTTAAGACCCATGTCAAACATTTACTAAATAAATAATTCCATTTATTAAAACTGGGTGGAACTGGATGCTTTTGACTGGTGTTCACTGAAACCATAAAACATTTGTAAAGCACTAATGAAAGTACACACAGAAAAAATTATGTGACATCACCAGGAGCAAATTTACTGGAAAATGAAAAGAATAGCAAAAAAACACAAAACCAAACCCTGTGCGAGACCTGTTGGGTCTGTTCAGGTGTTACACATGTCAGTGTGGAATTTTAAATTGTTGTGGGCAATATTGCTCAAGCACATTTCTTATTACTGAGTATATTTAGAGTCCATAATGAACTGTTTGACCAAGAGTTTTGGACACAAAGAAAAACTTGGTGTGTGGAACATAAATGTGTAATGAGAAAAGGGGAACGAAACACAGAAAACTCTATAACAACGATGTGGACAAAACATAAGAAAACTTATGAAAACTTCAGAAGCAAGATTTGTTTAGAAGAAGCAAATGTAATATGTGGGTGTGTTGTCCTTCATGCAAACAACACTGAATAAAAATTTACATGTTTGTTTGCACCAGAATAAATGAGGTAGAAAGGTTTGTGATTTGTTATGCTCTGAAGAAAACCACAGTGGCAGTAAAGTGACAATAGCTGTGATTATTTTCCAAAGCCATGAGTGGGAGAAATTATATTTGCATCTCCATTGGTAAGTCAATTTACAGTATCTTCAGTTACACTTGATTTAATTCATTTTAAACCTTGGAAAAACCCCTCATAATCATTATCATATACAAAAATGATGATAATACTTTGAGTAGTAGCATAGTGCTCTTTTACTTAAATCTTGGTCTACGCAAAGTCTTGAGGCAACATTTTGGACAGAGGTGATATAAAAATATATACAAGTCTTAAAAACAACAGTGAGATACTTGAGAACTTGTTGTCAGATCTGGAATAATAGCTATTCAAGCGAGGATTAATCGGAATTATCAATCAGTGTAGCTTCAGGTGTCTTTCAGACACATTTAGACACAACATGTTTCTGGTTTTGATGATTCCTTGTTTTTATATCCACTCCGTTAATTTAATTAAGTTTTATTGCTTGTTACATCACCAGTCACTCAGCAGAGATGTTGTTGAGTATGCTGTTCCCTTTAAAATTCCCATTTTTACACAATTTCAAACACTACAGTTAAAAATGAATATGATATAAATTATACTTTACATTTTTTAAGTCAAACTCTTTACATTAACAGTGATTTCCTTCATGATGATATCTAGAGCGCTGACAGGTAAACTTTTTCCTCACTTCCCTCAAAACAATCTTTAAAAAAATAGAGAATAATTCATAATACTAACTAATTTTTTTTTATATTAAGGTTATCTTTTCCATAACCTGGCACTGAACCAAAAGGCTATCCAGTCCTCGGTTGGTGACAGCGTGGGTATTGCTGGCAAAGCAGTTGATGGGAGAAGAGAATCAAGATATCAGTTAGGGTCCTGTACACTCACCAAGTCAGAATCTGATCCCTGGTGGAGGGTAGACCTGGTAAATGTGTATACAATTGGTGCTGTAATAATAACCAATAGAGCAGAACTGGAAAATGGACTGGATGGTGCTGAAATCTGGATTGGAAAGTCCGCAGCGATCAATGACATTGAAAGCATGAGGTGAAACAGCTTGAAGCAGACAGATAAAATACATGAGCAATCATTATTTCAGTAGCATATTGTCCCTTCTTATTTTTTTCTTCTTTTTGGCTTTCTCATACACAGATGTGCCGTCATCTCTCATATTCCCAGTGGACAGACATACTACTTTCCATGTAGCTCCATGGAGGGACGCTACGTCACTGTGTTTCTACCAGGAAGTGAAAATGTCCTTAGCATCTGCGAGGTTGAAGTTTACTATGGTAATCACATTTCAGCCTGATGCCGATACACAAGTCTGAGGCCTTGCTTGTTCAAGTTGTTGTTAATTTTCCAAATGGCCCACCTCCCAACACAAATTAATCATTCTTGTTGTTTTGTATAGTTAAAGGTCTTTGAGCCAGAATGACAGCCAAGTGTGGTCTTCAAAATTACTGCACTCTGCACCTTCTGCAACAAATATAATTAACTATTCACAATGATCTAATGTCTCTCTGTGGTTTTCCTTCAAGGATACCCATTACCCAATGTGGCACTCAAAGGAGAAGCTACCCAGTCATCTACACTCTCCTTTGCCACTGCGTCCAAAGCCATCGATGGCAGACGGAACTCGTTCTATAGCAATGGGTTCTGTAGCCACACGGCTGAAGACGAGACCAACCCCTGGTGGAGGGTGGACCTGCAGCGAAGCTTTACAATCACTGCTGTAAAAGTCACCAACAGAGGAGACTGCTGTGCTGAAAGACTGGATGGAGCTGAGATCAGAATAGGAAACTCACTGGAGAACAATGGAAACAATAATCCCAGGTAATTACAAGTGTTTCAATGTAAAGTGAGTTTTTAAGTATAACTGGAACAGTGATAAGTCAAAAGTTTACAAGATTCATTTTGTCCACCACATGGTGAACTAACATATAATAAGTGGATTTCCCAACCTTTTAACTGCAGTGCAACAAATTTAGGATTTTTAAGATCGATATAAACATCACAATACAGTGAGCTGCAATGTCTTTAAATTGCTGTCTTTCTCTCCAATTGTTGGTATTTTGTCTTATGTCTTCCCTTTCTTCTTTCCTCACCCCCAAACTGGTCTGGCCCATCCCCGGGTCTGATTCTGCTGAAGTTTGCACCCCACTAAAAAAACATTTCCCCCCTCTTACCATTGCAAAGTGCTTGCTCACAGCGGGTTATTTGATTGTTAGAGTGATCACCCAAATACTATAGGGTGCTTTCCTTACAGTATATATAAATAAACCTGAATGAAATTAAACGTGTATATTTGCAGATTTAAAAATCTGACATTTTATATTTTATATTTGATACTTTAATTTCCTTTTAAAAAACAACACACATTCCCTAACATGTCTTATGTGTAGTTATTTGCTTGTTTGTGCTCTGTTGTTGTGTTTGCACTGTTCCAAATGTGCTGAAACCTTGCGTTACAATAGACTAGAATAGATGGAATACAGTAGCCCTTCATTGTCATTGTACATGTACAGCAGAATAAAATATAAATAGTAGACAGCAGAAATAAATAGCAACAGGAGAAATATATACAGTCAAGAGGGATATATACAAAACTAGAGACCTATATACAAAAATAGGAGACACATTAGAGAACAGTTGCAAATTGTTTGGATTAATTAATCACTAATTATGCAATGTGTAACATTCACAATAAGGTTAAAGGGTATTTCTTCACACTTGTTCGTTACTCTTTAAATTTTCATGTATTGGTTCTTATAAATGCCATAGAGATGTAAATAGCTTACATCGGTCAAACTAGCAAAGGAACCAATAAAAGCTTCTGTGATTTTTTGGGAAAACCTATGAAAACTTTCAAAAGGCTGTGTTCTCAGTTACATTCTCTTCTTGAGAAAGTAATTATGTCAACTTAATATTTCCCCATCCATTGGTGTCAGGTGTGCTTCCATCTCACATATCAAAGTGGGTAAAACCTACACATACCGGTGTGATGGAGGCAGCATGGAGGGTCGCTTTGTGAACGTGTTTCTTCCTGGACAAAAGAAGACTCTCACCCTGTGTGAAGTGGAGGTGTATGCTGCCCCAGCAGGTAGAGCTTTAAGTGACTGGATCTGATCTATGGAAACACATCTGCTTGATACTGATTCATACTTGTTCGTTCCTTTCAACAATTTAGTGGAGCCGCTTCAAAATGTGGCCTTAAACAAACAAACAGTGCAGTCATCAACAGGGAATGCAGTTGGGATTCCCTTCAAAGGTGTCGATGGGTGCAGAACTGAAATCTGGGGTTATTCATGTTGTACCCACACTGGGCCACAGCAGAATCCCTGGTGGAGAGTAGACTTATTGGCTGTCTATAAAGTCACTGCTGTCACCATCATCAACAGACAAGACTGTTGTTCTGAAAGACTTCTTGGGGCACAGATCCTGATTGGAGACTCACTGGAGCAGAATGGCAACACAAATTCCAGGTGAGACACGAGACTGATAGTAGAAAGGATTCAAAGGATCCAAACACACATGTAGAAGATGATGTTAACCAGAGCTTGGAGATAATAAATAAACAAGGCTCAAGGTTCTTTATTTGCCACATGCATAGTTATACAAGTATTACACACAGTGAAATGTAGCCTGACATGTGCAAAAATTGTGTGTGTGTGTGTGTGTGTGTGGGGGGGGGAGGAAGAACGTACAGAATTCATACATACATACATACATATGTGAATTCTGTACATTAATATGAATAGACATCTGACTATTTTACAGGATAGACAATATAAACATATTTAAAATTAAAGGAATTTGAAATGTACATTGTGCCTTGGTTTAGTGTCTGGAAGAGTCCTGACTCAGTCAATTATAGATGATGTGAGAGGGCGGGTGTGTGTGTTTAGGGCCCGGATGATGCAGAACCTTCTACCAGATTGCAGAAGTTGGAACAGTTTGTTGCCAGGCTGGGACGGGTCCTTCAGTATCTGCGCTGCTCTAGTCCGGCATCTCCTGGTGTAGGTGTCCTGAAGCGGGGGGAGAGCAATCCTGCAGCAGCTTTCTGCTGTACGGATCACTCTCTGGAGAGCTTTTTGGTCCTTCACACAGCTGTTCCCAAACCACGATGTCATGTTCTGTGTGAGGATGCTCTCCACAGCACCTGTATAGAAAATCCTGAGGATCTTTGGAGAGACCCTGAACTTCCTCAGTTGTCGTAGGTGATACAGGCGCTGCCTAGCCTTTTTGGTCTGGACCTGAATGTGGGCAGCCCATGTCAGGTCTGAGGAGATGTGGACACCAAGATACTTGAAGGACTGAACCAACAACTACAGGATATAAACTGAAAACACTCCCAATGTGCGACTTCTGTTATTTCCACCTGAAATATACATGTCATGCATATGACTGTAAAATAGCAAACCCCAAAAAGCACTAACTATTCAAAATACAAAACCAAAGAAAGTGGCTGCAAATGTAACTGCTGGCTCAGCAGCACCCAAAATCCTAGTGAAAAGGGTCTAGAGGGAAAAAATGATGATGATGATTTCACCTTGATGTTTGTGTAACACCATCAGGTGTGGCGTTCTGGAATCATTAGCGGGTACACCAACATACACATTCCAGTGTAATGAAATGAAAGGTCGCTACATCAGTGTGATCATACCAGGATCTCCGAAAACTCTGACGCTGTGTGAAGTGGAGGTGTTTGCTTCTCTGCCTGGTAAGGCCATAAGATTTCTTTCTAGCAGATCTGTTGTGGTCATGTGTGGATATATGACTGTTGGAAAATTACTTCCAAACGTAGAAACAGCTTTAACCTTTTAGTGTTTAGTGTTTTTTCATTTTCCACTACACAGTGGACAAATTGAACTTCTTTCTGGTTTTCAGTCTTCCCTTTTTAATTGGGTGCATAATGCAACGATACAGTTTAACCAGTTAAATTTTTTTTAAAAAGAGTCAAACATAGAACAAAACTATTTCTCTCCAGCACCAGAAGCCGTCATTCCTTCACCGACACCTCCACCTCCTTCCAGCCCTCCTCCCACTGTGAGCCTGCAGCTTGGTGGCAGGAACGTGACGGTGGTGGGAGAGAGGCTCTGCTGGTCTGATGCTCTGATGCACTGTAGACGTTATTACTGGGACCTGCTCAGCCTTCACAGCCAACAGGAGCAAAGCGAGTTGGAGCAGCTGCTGGGCCTCGTTCCTTTCTCCCTCACAGACCACGTCTGGCTGGGACTGCGCAGGTACTGATGAAATGAGATAATTAGTATTTTTAACAACCAAATTAATTAGCAAGAAATAATATAAATTAGCTGATTCTGTTTTGCTGACAACTGTCTTAATGTCAAGTAATAAGTAATCCACAGCTTATGTAGGATTGTCAGCTCAGAGCAAAATGACCACAAAAGAGCCACCACTAAAAAAACAAACAGTCATTAACAGAAATTATTGAACATCACCAAAAGAAAAAAACAGAATTACTCAAAATGAACAGACAATCAACAAAATAAGAAGCAACCAGGAGAACATGAAATTCAGAAGATGAAGAAATGGTAGGCAAAACCATACTTCAATCAGGCATAACATTAGGAACACTGACAGGTGTTCTTCATCATGGCACCTGTTAGTGGGTAGGATACCTTTTAAATATATTTTTTTAATATTTTGTCTTGTGTCCTAGCATCTCAGTGTTAAATACCACAACAAACCTTCAGTGAAGTAATCCAACAGCCACCAAAACTTTAACATTAAACAAGAACCAGAACCGAGATACTACTACAAGAACCACATCTCAACATAAAACGACAGTGATATCAAAACAGGAATTGAAAACACAAACAACTGCAAGCTCACTCACAGAAACACAGAATGCTTCGATCCAATCTGCTCTATTACTCAGATCTAAGCTTGCTGTGAAATATTTCAAGGATTCAAGGAGCTTTATTGTCAAAAACATGTTAACATGATTTGGAATGAAATTATGTACACACGGTCCTGGAGTGAAAAGAAACAAAATAATGAAGAAACAGATTTTTTTTGTAAGTAAAGCTCTAAATTTAAATAGTGTTCGGTGCTCCAATTAAATGTTTGTGTGTGTATTTTACGTTTTCTGTGAAATGCGCTTCACCTATTTTGTGTAACACTAGGAATATGCTAATGTATTTTCAAATGATGGATTTGTTTCAGAGTCAGGGCCATAATTCATGTTTAAGCTCGTGCAGAATAGCTAGAGGCCAGATGCTCAAACCTGTTCTCTTTTCATACGCCGTGACAATTTGAATTTTGCAAATTCAGACATTTTCAAAAGATGAGGTCATGACGTCTCAGGCTGTGCGTCCTTGTATTTGTTTGGATTGAAAAAAACATTTCAACGAATTTCTGATTCATCAGATCCCTCAGAGCAGACGAGTGGTTCTGGATGTCTGGATATTCCATGAATTTCTTAAATTGGCCACAGGATTTTGTTCCTGACAGCTACTCCAGCACCTGTGGAGGCGTGGCCAGCACGGACCACTTCCTCTGGCAGGACCAGCCCTGTGGAGAGAACCTCAACTTCATCTGCCAATCAGGTTTTACTTACACCACGTTAAAGCTTGTGCGCTATTATCGTACATTGCCTTAATTTAACTGTAACTCATGTTCTTTCAGGTGCTGACGATGCTGTGCAGAGAGTTCATTTCTACAGCACGAAGGATCCTATAAGTCCTTAGTAAAGGAGAACAATGTACTGTCTGATGGAATGGATACAAATACATATATCTGAAACCTTTTTTCACTCCTTTAGTTCTGTAAATTATACTACAGAAAAACTATAAGACGTTTCTGCACACAATACCATGTTTGCCTTTTTTTTTTTACTTTATGATGCACTGCATGTAGCTACTATAGCACTGATTTCTATTTAAAATGCTGCTGGCTATTTCATAACTCATGCTCATAGCAAATGTACCTATGGAAAATGTGTGAGCTTATTACCCTGTAATGTACTCCTCCACATTTGCAGGGGTTGTGAATTCAGCCACATAAGTAACTCTACACTTTTGTGAAAGCCGTAGTGATGAAATACAGATGACACCTGAGAAATGTAAAACTACAAATGTCATCAAAGTAATAAAAATTCATTAAAGCAACAGATACAGTTGTATGTTATGAAATTGTCTGATAGAAATGTTTCCAAAATATGCAGATAGTCTCTGTTCAACCACCCTTACTGTTTTGTTTAATCCTAATTATACTTGCTAAAGTTCATTCTGTTCATCTGGACGTAGTGTTTCCAGTAGGAAACATTTCATCACTCATCCAAGTGACTTCTTCAGTCTCAGTTCTTCTGTGTTGTGTGGATGGCACATGACAGGAGAGCTAACTCGACAGGCCAGGACTCCACACCTACAGGCCAGTGGACACTCTTTCAATGATGAGGATGTATCCCGGACAGGGAGGAGGCTGGTTTGAGAAGGGATGCAAGGAGGCCATTTACGTAAAAAGGGAAAGACCATCTCTGAATCGAGGAGGGGGCTTAAGGGTGCATCTTTCACCATCATGCAATGCTGTGATTGCAGCCATTCTCCAACTCTCTCTGAATGGTACTCATGACCATTGAGCAATGGTCAATGATCAGCCATCAGTGCTTGCTGATGATTAGTCAGGAGAATTTTGATGATCAAGGAACTGACCTCCCAGCCAATTGTTCCTTCAGTGGGCTGGTTTCAGTCATTATGAAAATGTACTGTTTATAAGATTGGGGAAACCTGCAGTCAGCTGAGACTGAAGAAGTCACTTGGATGAGTGACGAAATGTTTCTCCCACTGAAAACACTACGTCCAGATGAACAAAATTAATAACCCGGGTGATTGCACATGCATCAAGACATATACTTGTTAACACAACAAAATATTTGTGTGACTTCCTTTAAGGGGGAAATTGTCCGATTCACAAGCTAAAAACAATCTGGGGATAAAGTTAATTTAAAAAGGAATAGAAAAAACAAACAAAAAACATGTTTTCAAATTGTTTGTGTATTAGTGTGAACACACATTTGTAAGTTCTCAACATTACAAGTACAATGATATATATACATCAAAATCTTAGTTTTCAATTGTGGATACAGCATACACCATGCCATTAAT